CATGGAACCGAAAGGGACTTCCACAACCGGTAATTGTAAATTGATGAGATCTTATTGAATTTTCCGCCTGACAGTTGCGAAAGACGAAACCTTGCCTAGATGCAACCTTAAGTTCTGTGCTAATAGTTTCTTTCTCGCATCTCATCTCAGAAATATAGACATATACTATAGCCGCATTATTTTAAATCGACTTCACCCCATTCAAGGCAGTCAAGCCACTAAGACGCAAGGTGTTACTGGGTGTGGAAGATTTAGAAACGAAAACATTACTACTGAGTGGGAAGAGAAAAGAGTAATCAGGAGGACAGTAGATAGTGATTGACATTGCATTTAAATTTGTGCAGATTAAAATTAGCAGGAAAGCATGGAACCGGAAGGGAGTTTCAAAAGCGGGAAGTACGAGAAAAGAAAATGTTAGCATAGAATTTTATGGCTACATTTAACCAGCTTATTAATTGATTGGCTTCTCTGTTTAACGTCATATCAACACTTTATGGGTCATTTAATGGCGAAATTAAATTTTCTTGGGATCTAGGAAGTTTCTTTTTAATCGTTATCATCCCATGTAAGGCAATAAAGCCACTAAGGCATAAGGGGTTAGAGGGTGTGGGTGAATTAGGAACAGAAACATTACTAATGAGCGGGAAGGGAAAAGAGTAACCAGGAGGAGAGTAGATAGCGATTGACATTGCATTTAATCTTTTGGAGATTAAAGTTGGCTGGAAAGGCGAGAAGTGAGAGGAAAGATACTGTTAGCATAGAACCTACGGTAACATCTAGCCAGTTCAGCTGTGAAGTGATGAGATCTCGACGCCAGTCTAGTAATGCGAAGAGCTCATCGGGACAATTACCATGAAAGTATTAATAGAAAATAAAATAGTAGAGGAAAGAGAAATCGGGAAGACAGTAGATAGCGATTGACATTGCATTTAAATTTTTGCATATTAAAAATAGGCTAGAAGGCATGGAAACATCTAAAAACATTCAAATATTTGGTGTCTTTTAATTTTAATTTATATTTATAGTGTAACCCGGATATAAGAGAGTTGTCTGAACCGGCGAAGAAGTCACTTATATCCGGGTTTCTCTTATATCCGGGTTTCTCTTATATCCGGGTTTGGTCTATTTTGTTTAGGTAAGTATGGGCTCTAATTTGGAACCAGAGAAAATCTCTCTTATATCCGGGTTTCTCTTATATCAGGGTCTCTTATATCCGGATTAAACTGTATTTAAATAATGAACGAATGAGGGAGTTAACAAAATACTGAGAAAGTAAAGGCTTTAACGGGGAGGAGAGTGAATGAAAGAGACGATTAGGGGGCAAGCAGAAAGTGATGGAGGTTACGGATGGTGACGTTTTGGATCGAGTCAACGTTGGGCTCAAACTCATTTTAATATCACCACTATTAGCGCGGACGCAATTTCCAAAGCAGGGAAAAAGAAATATTATTTTTCCTCCTTTTCTTTTTCTTTCTTTTTCTTTCTTATTTCTCTCGTTTCGTTTCTTTTTTTTTTAAATTTTTCTTCTTTTCCCACTTACTGAAGCTTTTCTTTTTCTTTCGTTTCATTCTGTCGCCCTCCTCTCATGTTTTTCTTCGTCCTCCTTTACGTTTTTGGTGACTTTTTTTTTTCTTTTATAATCGAGCTCAGCTAAGTAAGACAAAAGGTTAAGTAAAAAGAAGCAACACCAATCTCACCGGCGGGGAGGACAAGATTTACCTTGAAAATCAGCCTTCGATATCTCAGCCTTTCACGTGGGCTCGAACATCGATCTCTGTCAGTGATAGAAAAGGACACAATTTTCTCAGCCACGAGAAAAGCTCGAAGTCATTGTCATTTTATTTTCGCAGTTTTTTTATTTATTTATTTATTTTTTTTTTTTAATGAATTTTCTTTCTTTTTTTCATTTAATTCTTTTTCTTTTTCTCTTTTAGGTAATCGTCTTTGTTTATATATTTTCAAGGAATTAATTCTCTTTCCACTGATTCCGCTTTTTTTATCAGGCGTAATGTTGTTTTATTGTTTAACCCGAATGACAAATGAATGAAGGAATATATAAATGAAGGAATAAATGAATGAAGGAATAAATGAATGAAGGAATAAATGAATGAAGAAATAAAAAGATAAAGAAAAAATGACTAAATAATATTTTTCTTATTTAGTTATTTTTCTCTTTTATCCTTTCATTCATATGTCTTTCGATTCTGAAGAAATATTCTTCCTTTTATTTAATTGGTTTTTCTTTCTTTCTTTTTTCTCTTGCACTTTCTTTTGCACTTTCTTTTGCACTTTCTTTTGCACTTTCTTCATACCATTCTTCTACACTCTTTCTTTTGTTCTTTCATTTTTGCATATTTTCTTCGTTTCTTTCTTTCACACTCTTTCTTCTTTTTTGTGCATTTCCTTCCTTCCTTCCTTCTTTTTTCCTTCCTTCCTTCTTTTCGTTTTCAATTTGGATATTTCTTGTGTATCTCCTTCGTGTTGGTCTGTTCTTTCTTTCTTTTGCACCTTCTTTCTTTTGCACTTTCTTTCTTTCTATTCTTCTACACTCTTTCTTTATTTCTTTTTTTTTTTGCATATTCTGTTCGTTCCTGCCATTCTATTTCGTCATTTTTTTACGCATTTCTTTCCTTCCTAGTATTCTTTCTTTCTTTCTTTCTTTCTTTCTTTCTTTCTTTCTTTCTTTCTTTTTCTTTTTTCTACCCACTTCTTCTTTGTTCTTTCTTGCATTCGTTTCTTTCTTTCGTTCTTTCTTTCTCTTTCTTTCTTTCTTTCTTTCTTTCTTTCTTTCTTTCTTTCTTTCTTTCTTACCCACTTCATTCATTTGCCTCCTTCTTCTTTCTTCTTTTTGTTCGTTTCTTTCTTTTGTTCTTTCTTTTCTTTCTTTTTTCTTTCTTTCTTTCTTTCTTTTCTTTCTTTTTCTTTCTTTCATTTTCTTCTTCTTTGTTCTTTCTTGCTTTCGTTTTTTTATTCGTTCTTTCTTTCTTTTCTTTTTTTTTTTTATTCTTTCTTTCTTTCTTTTTTATTCTTTCTTTCTTTCTTTCTTTCTTTCTTTCTTTCTTTCTTTCTTTCTTTCTTTCTTATTTCCTTCGTTCTGTTCTGTACTTTCTTTCTTTTCTTTTTTCTTTCTTTCAACTTTCTTCGTTTCATTCTTCTACACTTTTTCTTTTTCTTTCTTTTTTTATATGTTCTTCGTTCCTTTCTTTCACACTCTTTCTTTCTTTTTTGCGCATTTCATTCGTTCCTTCCTTCCTTCCTTTTTTTTTTTTTTCAATTTGGTTCTTTCTTGCGTATTTCTTTCGTTTTCTTTTCTTTCTTTTTTTTTCGCGCTTTTTTTTAAAAACCTTTTCTGTTTTGCTTTTTATTATTTTCTCCTTCATTTACTCATTCTCTTCTCTTCTCCTAAACGAATAAGACAACCATCTGTCTTCGATCAATTTTACGTCATTATTTCGAATTGGTTTTCCTTCTCCCAGGTTGATTTTAAGACAAAGAGAAGATGAAAAGAAACGAGAACTTAAGAGGTATATGGCTGACTGGGTAGGAAATGCGGTCCAATAGGAACTGCGCAAAAGACCGTGCAAATCAATGAAGTATGCACAAATCAGTTTTAGGGTGGGAAAAAATGCATACTTTTTGTTTTTTAGGAATATAGAATTCAAACATATAACTTTATCCGAATCGCAACAAACCAAGAGTATTATTATTATTATTATTATTATTATTAGAAGAAGAAGAAGAAGAAGAAGAACGGCAAAAACTAACCAGTCGATAGTATTACTTAAATCAACAAGAATACTGCGGAGAGTGCTGTAGCTTTGAGGAGACTTGCTGTCACTTGTTCACCAGCGATAGCCACGAGAAAGCTCTAAAGTTAGTTGGAAATGCGAGGGGGAATGGAAACGATATGGGCGGTGGCAGCATTACTAAATTCACCGCGGGGGATTTGCAGCAGAGTGTTGCTGTCACTTGATCTCCAGTGACAACAACCAATGTGTGTTGTTGTCAAAATATTGACGATAATAATCGCAATTTAAGTTTAATGATTGATAACAATGACGTCACGGTAATTTTGATGAGGGCGATAACTACGACAAAAAATGCCAAAATAAATAAATAAATAAATAAACAAATACCGGACTTTGTTTATAATTATTGAGATATCGATAATTATGAGAGCGTAATAGTAATTTCGATATGCCTCGTGTCCGAAATTTTTACGCATTTCCCCCTCTCGTCCGACCCCAAATATAAACAAAACAAAAACAAAAATAAAAACAAACAAAGAAACAAACAAAAACGTGGATTTCGAAAGCTGGCGTAATACAGTCTTCCACCTCTCTCGTCTTAAGTTTTTTTTTTTTTGTTGTTTTTAATTACGACAACGTTATGACGGACTGTAATTATGTAGTCGGTTCGAGAGAAAAAATGCTTCCGGTTGTGATGATGATGTTAATGACGACGACGATGATGATGACGGTAGATCTGCTGCTGCTGCTGCTGCTGCATTTGTTGATGAGATTACAGGAATTAGTAGCAATTTGTTCTCATTTCGTATTAATGTCGACAGCCGAGCGAATCACTTCTGCTTTGTCAGCAGTATATTCATTACATCGCTGTTGAGCGTCTCTGCATCCCTTTTCAACGGCGCCATCTTAGAAGGTTTGAACAAGAGAGACTAGGGAATAAAAAGAGGAGAGGAGAGGAGAAGAGGAAAGGAAAGAGAAACAACGAAGAAAAGAAGAAAGGAAATTGCATAAAGAAGGAGAAGGTAAAGAAGAAACGAAATGAAGAAAAGGGAGAAGAAAAATTGACAGTATCAGAATAACGGAGGGATAAAGAAAAAGAAGGAAAGTTAAGAAGAGAGAGAGAGAGAGAGAAAAGAAAGAATTTGACAAATGAGGCAAAGAAAGAAAAAGAAATAATGAGGAGAAGAGAAGGAGATTTGTAAATGACAAAGGAACCTTTTCCATTAATGCCGACATAGACTCTAAAGAGAACTAAGGACAGGCTGAGAAAGGCTCACAGAGAGGCACAAATGAAACGAGGAGGGCACAAAGATGTACGGCCGGATCAAGAGAGGATCTCGGAGCGGTACTGACAAAAAGAGAGTGGAATCGAGATCGGGAGATTGGAATTGGAAGTTGTGACAAGAAAGACACATGGAGAGGTATGGTCACGATGAAAGAGGTACTAACGGACTGAGAGAGACTCGAGAAGAAGTAGGAACAAGACGAGAGAGTCCCGCAGAGAGGTAGGGTCAGAACAAGTGAGTCCCGCAGAGAGATACTAGCGGACCGGGAGTGACCCGCAAAGAGGTACGGACAGGACGAGAGAGGCGCACAAAGATGTACGGCCGGATTGAAAGAAGCATCGCGGAGAGGTACTGACGAGTTGGAGGAGGCTCGCAAAGAGGTACGGACAAGACGAGAGAATTTCGTAAAATACGGACAGGGCGACAGAAGAGGCACTGGCTGGTCGAGAGAGGCTTGTAAAGAGTACCTCTTTGCGAGCCTCTCGCAGGGCAAGGGAGGCTCGCAATGTGATACAGATAGGACAAGAAAGGTTCCCAAAGATGTTGGGACATGAAGAGAGAGGATCGCAGTGGTGCTGACGGGTCGAGAAAGCGTTACAAAGAAATACGAGCAGGTTCTCGGCGAGAAACGGGCAAAACGTGAGAATCGCGGAGAGGTATTGATAAGTCCAGAGAGGCTCGTGGAGAGACATGGGCTTGAGGTTCACTGTGAGGTTTGGACAGATAGTGGGAGGGCCGCGGAGACGTACAAACGAGAAGATACAGGCTCTCAAAGAGGAACGGACTTGCCAAGGGAGACAAACGTGGTATGGATGAGATGAGAGAGGCTTGTTGCGTGGTGTGGACGGGCCAAAACAGTCTTGAGTAGAGGTACGGACAAGACGAAAGTGGATAAATGTTATTTACGGTCAGGGCGAGAGAGAATTGTGGAGAGATACGAACCATACGAGATCGGCCCACGGAAAGGTACGGACATTCTGAAAATGACTTGCAGAAAGATAGAGACAATCCCAGATGAGCTCGCAGAAGTGTACAGACAGCTCGTGATTGACTCGCAGAGAGGTGCAGATAGTCCGGGATAGAGCCACAGAGGCACGGAAAAGACGAGATAATCTCGATGGGATATACAGAGTGGCCGAGGTAGATTTATATGAGGAGGGGGTGGATTTGTGATCCGAAAGAGGTAGATTATGTGATTTAATAAGATTGATAGCAAATCACTTTACAGCTACACACACGTGCGCGCGCAGAGAGAGAGAGAGAGAGAGAGAGAGAGAGAGAGAGAGAGAGAGAGAGAGCTGAAACGGATAGGTACGAAGAAATCTATGTCGGGTTAAAAGGCTTGATAAAGGGCAGGATATAAGCCTGTGATAGGGGACACAGGGGACTTATGGATCTGCTAGTCTCGTAACACCATCTAACGTACTTTCCATCTTCAATGTATTATTTTTGCCTATAATAATTTGCGGTTGTTCTCTCAAGAAGGCCCCTCTGTCTTTAACACCTATTGGGACCTAACTTCACTCCAGACCTTATATACGATCGATCACGTGATAGCGAATCACATGACCCATCAGGGTGGTAGGGTCACCACATGTACTTCAGCCGCAGTAGAAGTGGTGTTTCTTGGGCAAGATAGCCCGACAGAGACCAACCCTCTCCAAGTCGGTTTCAATTCAGAGTTTCCTTTTCCTAGACCGGTTGCCATCCACGGCTATAGAATCCAGTCTGTCCTGCTATTTAGCCATAGCTGGGAGGAAGAGAAGAGGATTCATACCTTTGCTAATATATACCTCCTCATATACGCCCCGTCGTTAATTTGCTGGAAAAGTAGTTGGTTCTTTGTATTCTTCCAGTAAGTACCTATGACCTACTTTGCTCTATCTTTCCAAGCGCCAGATCAGACCAAATATGGAGTACTGCTGTCATATCTGGCCTGGAGCTGTCAAAGACACAGTTTCGATATTCACAAGCTTTGACTCGGCTTTGTGGGTGATGAACTATTTTTCACCCAACAAACATTCCCACAGACGAAATGTCGCAAGCCTCTTTCCTACTGTGCCGCTATTTCCATGGCAAATTGTCTGACGAGCTACATTCCTTAGTTCCTCTCCGTTTAAATGTTCACAGCTAAGAACCTCTTGCCACGAACACTGGGACCAACCATCTCCATTCCTTTTGTATTTCATTTGTAAGAAAGAAGTTCGACTAAGTCAGCTTCTTCCCAAGAAGCACTTATTTGTGAAACAGACTCCCCTGAAGACGCTTCCTCGGTCACTACTATTTTTGAGAATTAAGAGTCATTATTATTAATTTTTGACTGAAGCATTATCAGCTATTATTATTATATGCTGACTAGTATTCACTTTCATCTTTCATTTTTCATTAGCTGAATCATTGTTAGCCATTATTATTAATTGTTAACTAGTATTTACTTTCATCTTTCATTTTTCATTAGCTGAATCATTGTCAGCCATTATTAAGTTTTTGACTAGTATTTACTTTCGTTTCTATTTCTGAGTGATTTCTAAATTGTAACCGTATCTTTGTTATCCTAAATATAAGTGTAATTTTTTAACAAAAATTTCTTTAAATATGTGTTGTTTCAAGTTTTTGCTCCGTCTGTGAGGAGATTGTCCAACATTTATTGGTATGTACTAGAACTGATATTACATAACAGTCTCGTACTTTTTTTTTTTTGTTTTTTAATGATATTTTCCTGTTTCTTAATACTTTGCTTAACGTTTGGAAAGTATATTTCACTAATCCAATGCGCCTTCGGATTTCAGTGTCACATTTTCCGTCCTCTGTTAAAACAACATTATATTTACAATATCAATGTATTTAATACAAATGTTAAATACATGGAGAGTGTATTGCAAGGTTATCGACCGGATCCTAAAAACCGTATTGCAATGAACAAACATCAGAACATTGGTTTTGCTAAGTGGGTCGGGCCGATAACTTTTCAGCACTCTGCAGGATAAATTATCAATATTCAACTGAATAAATCTTTAAAAGGGGGGATTTGCGAGAATCCGCACGAGAAATGAACCTTGCGAACAGAGTTCGAATTCACGCTTAGTCTGCTGTGTTCAATTTCGCACTAATGTCCTCGGGAAAGGTAAGGATACATCTAAACTTTTCCTTGTTACAGGTTAAATAGTAGGGTAGACTAAGCTCTCCAGAATGGCATCTCTGAATTCCTAACTGTGCAGAAGGCAACAAGAAATCAACCCACCATCCTTACAAAGATGTTAAGGTAATTCAGAGAGAGAGAGAGAGAGAGAGAGAGAGAGAGAGAGACAGAGAGGGACAGAGACAGAGAGAGAGAAGAATGCGCGGAGAGCCGTGCTCATCTATATCCTGATTGGACATGGCATTAAAAAAAAGTAATTTTCAAAATAATTCGTAATTTTATTCTTTTTATTTTATATGCTGTTTTCTTTCAAGATGTTGACTATTATGACTCTCCACAACTTCCTATATTTTATCTTTCTACTATCCCTCCCTCTTCCTGTTCTGCTATCCATTTATACAAGCTCATTAGGTAGGGTCGCTTTCTGTTTTCCTCTGTCCTTCTCGCCTTAAAAATATTTCCAATAAGTGCCAAATTTTCCAAACCCTCATTCCTCATTATGCGATCCAGAAATATCAACTTATTCTTCCTCATTTTAAGTTACTAGATTATAAATATATAAATAAGCAGTTATTAACTTTCTTGTCATGCATAACACAAGCTAGACCAGAGATATTTTAAAAGTAGTTCCTCCATAATTACAAGTAACCCAAATTCAAAATCAGGTAGAGTTGGGCTTTCAAAAGTGGCTCAATTTGATATATGAGGCCAATTCGATACATGTAACTCTATTTGATACTTGTGATTCTAGTCGTTTTGAATTCGATACTTGTAGCTCAAGTTGACACATCTAGCGCATTTCGATACTTACAGCTTAATTCGATTCATGTAGCAAAATTCGGTCACTGGAATTCTATTATGTCACCGTAGCTCAATTTGATAATTGTAGCTCAGTTCAATACTTGTAGCACAATTCGATGCTTGTAGCTCAATTCAATAAATATAGATCAATTTTATGAATGTAGCTCAATTCAGTCCTTGCAGCTCAATTCGATACATGTAGTTAAGTTCGATCTTTGGAATCCAATTAGGTTATTGTCGCACAATTCGATGCTTGTAGCTCAACTCAGTACTCGTAGATCAATTTTATACATGTACCTCAATTCGGCACTTGAAACCCAATTCGGTACTTGCAGCTGGATTCGATAATTGTAACACTATTCGAGTTCAATTCGTTATATACAGCTCAATTTGATACGTAGGACAATTCGGTCAGTGGAATTCAGTTAGGTCCTTGTAGCTCAATTTGATAAATGTATGCCATTTTAGTACCTATAGCTTATTCCTGTTCTCTTTTTTTTCTTTTTTTTTTTAATCATTTCACGCCGAGCAAGATCATAACGCCATTGGGACGCTGGGAGGTACGGGGGGGGAAGAGATAGAGAAGGCTTTAGTGAAGGGAAGTGAGGAAAAGGAAAATAAATGAACATGATTCAGGAAGATAGATGGCGGTAATGTCACTAGGACATTATATATCGTGCTATATATATATATATATATATATATATATATATATATATATATATATATAATAGCACATGGTGAGATCTGGTGGTAATAAACAGTAGTTGGAGTGGTTGATGTAAAATGACAGCAAAAATTTATACTAAGAATAAATATTCTTAACACACATATACATGTGTGTGTGTGTGTGTGTGTGTGTGTGTGTGTGTGTGTGTGTGTGTGTGTGTGTGTGAATAACTATAAAGGGGTTATAGGGTGTGAAAAATATAGAGAATACTTTAACGAGGGGAAGTGAGGAAAAGGAAAATAAAGGAACAAGTTTCAGGATGACAGAAAATGGCGATTGACGTTGCATTTAAACTTTTGAAGGAAAGCAAGAAATCGGGAGTTCCACAGGTGAGCGAGAGACCAACAAAACTCCTTGTAGCACCAAAGGTGAACTGAAGGCTGGGATTACGGCAACGTTCACTAATTTAAACAAGGAGAACGTCCAGAAGAGTTGCAGGAGATTCCGATGTCCTCTGGAGTCCGTGGTTGAAGCCAATGGCGATTTTATTGCATAAATCTACTCTTTAGTATTTCAAGATATTTTTGTGTAAGTTTGGTGAATATATCTGTTAAAAGGAGATGTCAATGTAAATTTCATTTTTGTGTCAAATAGACGACAATTTATGCATCGCACCCTGTATATTCACACACACGTCTCTGTATGACGTCAGCTTCCGGACGTATATCCGCGCACATGCGCACAGACACGCAGAGAATCGGTTATACAAACGTTTAGGGGATTTTAAAAGCTTTATCGAGCGGCTCATCTATCAAGTCAACCAGAGTTTCCCGTGTCTCGCCGGATGTTTTACACATCTGAAATCGGCCCACCAGGAAATTAAGAATATTCCTTTTTTTATTCGTTTTTTTTTTTTTTTGTATTTGTGGAAGTCATTTTACGCATTCGGCTCCCCAAGTTTCTGGAAAGCACGTCATACGTGAAATACTCGTAAACAATACGTGGATACGACAAAACATTAAATGTAAAAAAAAAAAAAAAAAAAGTGGAAAAGAAGAAAAAAGATAAAAAAAAAGTAAGTAAAGCAAAATTCAGAATCTGGAAGGCGTTTTCATAAAATTAAGAAACGTGAAACTAAACAAGATCTTCTTCAATTGAAGAAAGGGAATCACAAATCTATTTCACAGCTGACACATAAAACCCAGGGAAGAAATTCGCTTGTATTGTGCGTGTGACAACATCATAATTCACAAATGTTAAACTGTTGAGTTTAAATGTACAGTGTAACCCGGATATAAGAGAAACCCGGATATAAGAGAGATTTTCTCTGGTCCCAAATTAGAGCCTGTGTTAATGTATATAAAAAAGACCAAACCCAGATATAAGAGAAGCCCGGATATAAGAGACTTCTTCTCCGGTCCCGACAACACTCTTATATCCGGGTTACACTGTATTTACAAATGCTTTAAATGTAAAGCGAAAAACACAGATTTTTCACAATCTTTAATGCAGGTACACAGTGTCTTTTACCAGACTAATGCAATAAGGAAAGAGTGATAACTAAAGACGAATTATATATATATATATATATATATATATATATATATATAAGTGCGAACATTGAAGTTCAACACGCAGAGGCGTCAGACTGTTTCATGCTAAACATAATCACCATGCCTCTCTGATATTGAGCACTTTATCCCATAAATATAGCATACCTTAAAACTATAAATATATATATATATATATATATATATATATATATATATATATATATATATATATATATACTGGACTCTTTGTCGAATTCGACGTATGAAGGGGCAAGCAGATTGGTTCCTAGGAACTGATAGCCCGACACCAGTACAACAGCACATGAGATTTGATTATAGTGGTGAAGGTTTTGTGCAGAATCATCCACACTTTTTTGAAGGGCCGAATACAGACCTGATGCACTACATGCCACAAGGTATATATATATATATATATATATATATATATATATATATATATATATATTATGAAATTGTAATAAAAACATATTGAAATCGTTACACAAAAGATTTCATGTTTCAATACTATAATTGCATTTCTTCAGAAGATACAATCATAGTATTAAAACATGAAAGCTTTTGTGTAGTGATTTCAAAATGTTTTTATTATAATCTCTTATCATAAAAATAATAATAATATATTGCTCTATATTGTATTGAGCTCTTTTTTTAAATGTAAATGCTACAAACTGTGGATTTCTACACCATCTGTTCATTCACACACACTCTCTCTCTCTCTCTATATATATATATATATATAAATGTATCCCATATTAAAATAATTCTAATATTAAATGGATAAAAAAATTCAGCAATATCATTTATTTACTTTCGTCTATTAGACATTAAATTATGTCACTTAGCATCGTCCATAATTTATTTAGACTTTTTAGTTAACCCAAAGGGTATTTATGAAGTCTCTTCAATTAAAAATAAATTGAAAATCTAACATCATTTTGAATTTTATTTATAAATACTTGTTACAAAATAAAATATTCACATTTGCCTTGATCAAGTCTGTGAGGGGATGAAACGCGTCGGCTAACATAAGTTTTCATTACGACTTTATTCACACACACACACACACACACACACACACACACACACACACACACACACACACATATGGGTGTTAAGTATATTTATTCTTAGTGTATATTTTTGCTCTGTTATTTTACATCAACCACTCTAACTACTGTTTTATTACCACCAGATCTCATCTATTATATATATTATATATATATATATATATATATATATATATATATATATATATATATATGTGTGTATATATATATATATATATATATATATATATATATATATATATATATATGACACACACACACACACACACACACACATATATATATATATATATATATATATATATATATATATATATATATATATATGCATTTATATAATATATATGTGTGTGTGTGATATATGTATGTATATATATATATATATATATATATATATATGATACACATTGGGTTTTAGAGAGAAAAAGAGAGTAATGCGCATCAGGATCAGAAAAATAATGTCTGTCATTCATTTGAAGATCACAAGACCTTGCGTTTTTGTCCGCTTCAAATTATGGGACCAGGAGTAATTTGGATCTGGTCTGAAAGTTTCGTGTTGGAGCAATTTCACCAAGCATTTGCTTTTGCCTTTTTGAAAAACAGGCACGCCTTGACAGTTAGTAAGGACATACGGAATAATTAGATGATGACCACGCTAGCCGGAAAAGAAACAATGGAACTTAGTCGCTGTGGAAGACATCAACCATGAGAAGAAGAGAGAAGTGAGGCGTCCAAGCTGTCACTTGGCGCCAAGTTGGAGTAAGTGATTGTGAAAACCTACTAATTTCCGCACCGGCTGGGCGGTGGGGTTGAGCATGGATGGATCCGCGCCATCAGAGGTTCCGGGTAAGGAATGAGGTTAGTGAAATGGTTCCACCCACGGCCCCTGAGTCAGACTGTGGCTGTTGCCCTGACACGATACGCGCTGGGAGAGTTACCTAATTCACACCAGTGCTAGGGATCAGTGTTCAAGTATAGTTAAAAAAAGACATTGAATGCTGGTTTTCTAAGAAAATTGTGTAAATAATTTTGCTTCTAGATTCACTTATGTTGCAGACTTCGAAGATATTTTCCTAGGCGGCATATTGAAGTCATTTTCTTTAAAGTATAAAACTGTCTTCCGCTGAAAAAGTATTATTATATATTCCTTAGCTGTTCGGATCGGCATGTTTTTCTTTGTTATATTTAGTCAAATTAGGTTTCAAATTCTACACTCAGGATTGTCCCATGGGGCAATAGCCTACTGGATTAAAGCGACGGTTAGTGAATTTGCTGGTTAGTGTAAATATTGACTCAGTGGAAACAGGGCAAGCAATAACAGAGAGACGGAAAGTGACGGGAAGTAGACTAAGAGTAGTAAATTAGAACTAGACGAGATATCTCCCATAGATTTAATAAAGTGTTCAGTTCGAAATTCCCAGAAGGTTACCCGGATTGACAAAGGCCTGACGAAGGAGACCGAAACATGATAATGACAGCAAAGATGGGGACAAAAAGACCCTCTGTACTGCCAATGTTCAAGGCAACTCGTCAAGTTGATACTTTTCGAAGGATCCTCTACAAGCTGCAAGGATCCTCCGCAAGATTCTATTTTTGCAAAGCCTCTCCGTAGACTGTCCTTTTCCAATGGAGGATATATTCTTTATTTACCGATAAATTTCTTGCACTAACAAAGAACGGATTTTTTTTTCACTAGAGCATTAAGTTGGGGTTACATAAAACAAATGTACTGTGCCATTGTTCTTTTTCGAAAATGTAGTATGTATCTCACCTCAGATATAGCCAAAATAGACTTTACCCTCAATGTTCTTTAAGGGATAGCAGTTTGAATTAAGGAATAAGGAAGGAGTGATAAGTAAACACGAATTACACACACACACACACACACACACACACACACACACACATATATATATATATATATATATATATATATATATTTTCAGACCGAAAATTTTTATTAAAAAACTTCGGTCTGAAGAGATGAATATTTGTATATTCATGAAATAAATTATAACCGAATACATTTTTAAGGACCGTCTGTACTTATTATTATTATTATTATATTGCTCTGTTTCTTACATTAAGCAATCTACGGATTCATGTCCACCTTGGAATTATATATATATTCAAAATTATAACATATGCATGTTATAACATCAAGTTCCAATTCCAGTCGAGTTCATTGCATTCAATTACGTGTTTTGAGAAAGGCATGAATCCATCTCTTTTCCTTTCGGCTATGGATAAACAGCAGGAGAGACTGGATCCTATAGTCTTAGTTGACAACTATTCTAGGAGAAGGAAAACGCATAGGGTCATGGCTCTCTACAACTTTCTTTTTCTTTATGACATTTGAATTGGTATAATGCCTTAGCAATGGCTGGAAGTACGGATTGAGGAATCGAAGTGTCGAGTTCCAATTTCAGTTGAGCACATTGCATGCTAGTACACTTGAAAAATATATGAATTCATTTTCTCCGCAGCTATGAGTAAATAGCAGGGCAGACTGAGCATTATAGCCTTGGCTGGTAACCAATCTAGTAGAAAGAAAAAACTCTGAATACAGATACCCGCTGCTATGTAGGTCCTGCCTCTATAACTTCTGTGAGGAGGACGGGGCAACTTCAACATCTCCGGTGCAAAAGGAACGAGCAAGCCATTGCACTTTTCTGCCTTGAATGTCACCATGAACTACAATTGTGAGATGGAGGGCAGTGGTGACCACAGCGGCGACGAAAAATGCACTAACTGAATAAATGATGATCATGTTTTTTTAAAGAACCCAAGTGTATCAACGGGTTGACCTGAGAGGTAACCTCTTGGCCACCGAGTGCAGATCCGCTTAATCCACTTATCTGTACCTTGGAAGTGCATACGTGGGAAAATAAAAACTTATGATAGCTCGATTAAAGATTTAAACTCTTTGGCAAATATGGATCTTCGTGCCCGCAAAAAAAAGGAATGTTAAAAGGATGCTTTTTCCTTGATACCGCTATTATTTTAACTACCTTTACTACTCGGCAATGTTTATTGTTTGAAAAAGCGACCCTTAGAATTCTAATAAACCCTAAACATTTGATGAAAGTGAATTTATACATTTTTTCTTCTTGAGAATTTAGAATATTTAGATTTTATTACAACTATTACAATTCTAATCGTCGCTATCTAAAACAACAAACATTGCCTAGAGGTGAGGGCTAATCAAAATAAAAAAAAATAAAACGGTATCAAGGAATATAGTCATTCTGACAATATTGTTTTTTGTTTTTTTTTTTTTGTTTTTTGTCAACTCTTTCGAGTCAACATGCGGAGAAAGGAATAGCCAACGGACGTGAGAAGGAAGAAACATCCCGACTTCGAGAACTCGAGGCTCAGAACTCGCGGCTCGGAATTCGCGGCTCGGAGCTCGCGGCTCGCAGCTCGGAGCTCGCTTGTTCAAATATTTAAATATATCTGCTAAGAATGCATAATATTATGGTAGTTCTTTAAGAAGAAAATATTCGTTCAAGAAACAACAAGAATAGAGAAAATAACAATAAGAATAAAAACAAATAAATGGCAAGGTGGATTATACAGAAATAAATAAAGAACGAACGAATGCTTCAAAATAGGGATCCAAAATTCGGAATGGTGTTAAGAGTGTAAGAGATTATTGGATACTGGTGATCTGACAGCATGGCAGGTCAGGTGACCGACGTCTACAGATGAGAGGGCAGCAGATGTTAAAAAGATGCAACGTCGAATGCGAAGTCACTGGCTGAGATTAGTGGCTGGGGCGGTAAGAGAGGATAGGGAATGGGTTTGGTTACTAATGGAAAAGACACACAAGTGCTCATTGCTCTGGGCAGGGGTACATGTAGGGTGTGTGAGAGAAAAAGTGCTGGTGGCTGAAGGATGAAAATGAAGAAGAAGAAGAAAAAAGAAGAAATAAAGTGAGGGAATTGTGAAAGATCTGATACGAACGATAGAAGAATGATTGAGTTTAATTTGACAGAAAGCAATAAGAGAAAGACGAACGAAGGAAAGAGCGAAAAGGAAGGAGATAATGAGGAAGTAAGGTAAAGACAGGTAGAGGAAGGAGTAAAGATGGTCAGTAGTAGTAAAGGGGAAAAGAAAGAAAGGAAAGCAGAATTGGAAAGAAAGAAAGAAAGAAAGAAAGAAATAAAGAAAGAAAGAAAGAAAGCAAAAAAGAAAAGCAGAATTGGAAAGAAAGAAAGAAAGAAAGAATTAAAAAGAAAGAAAGAAAGAGATAATGAGAGAGTACGATGAAAACTAGTAGAGGAAGGAGTAAAGATGGTCAGTAATAGTAAAGGGGAAAAGAGTGAAAGAAAAGTAGAATTGTAGAGAAAGAAAGAAAGAAAGAAAGAAAGAAAGAAAGAAAGAAAGAAAGAAAGAAAGAAAGGTAATGTGAGAGTACGGTAAAGACTGGTAGGTGAAGGGGTAAAGATGATCAGTAACAGTAAAGAGAAAAAGAGTGGAAGAAAGAAAGAAAAAAAGAAAGAGTACGATAAAAACTGGTAGAGGAAGGAGTAAAGATGGTCAGTAGTAGTAAAGGGGAAAAGAAAGAAAGAAAGAAAGAAAGAAAGAAAGAAAGAAAGAATGAGAGAGTACGATAAAAACTGGTAGAGAAAGTAAAGATGGTCAGTAGTAGTAAAGGGAAAAGAAAGAAAGAAAGAAAGAAAGAAAGAAAGAATGAGAGAGTACGATAAAAACTGGTAGAGAAGGAGTAAAGATGGTCAGTAGTAGTAAAGGGGAAAAGAAAGAAAGAAAGAAAGAAAGAAAGAAAGAAAGAATGAGAAAGTACGATAAAGACTAGTAGAGGAACATGGTCAGTAATAGTAAAGGGGTAAAGAGTGAAAGAAAAGCAGAATTGTGAAGAAAGAAAGAAAACAAAGAAAGAAAGAACGAAAGAGATAATGACAGAGTACGGTAAAGACTGTTAGAGGAAGCGGATAAAGATGATCAGTAAAAGTAAAGGGGAAAGAAAGAAAGAAAGAAAGAAAGAAAGAAAGAAAGAAAGAAAGAGTATGATAAAGGCTGGTAGAGGAAAGCTTAAAGGTGGTCAGCGGTGGTAATGGGGAAGAGACTAAAAGAAATTAGGAAAGAAAGAAAAACGGAACTGGAAAAATGATTGAAAGAGAAAGAGTATTAGAAAGAAAGAAAGAAATTAAAAAGAAAGAAATAAAAACAGAATTAGAAAAAAGGATGAAAGAAAGGAAGAAAAGCAGAATTGCAAAGAAAGAATGAAAGAAAAATATAATTGGAAAGACAGACAGAGAGAAAAAAGAAAGAAAGAAAGTATGAATGAATGAATGAATGAAGGAAGGAAGATAGGAAGGAAGGAAGGAAGGAAGGAAGGAAGTAGAATTGCAATGAAATAATGAATTGGAAAGAAAGAAAGAAAGAAAAGGAGAGGGCAGGAGGAATGAGGAAGAAAGCAAGGGAAAAGAGTAAAAGAAGAAAGAGAGAGGCGTATGAAGAAAAAGAGAAAGAGAGAACAGATGCATTATAAGAAGAAAGATTTAGATCGAAAAGAAGAAATAAAAAAAAGGAAAATCAATGGGAAGAATGTATCTGAACTGACATGGAAGATATGAAGCGAGTGACAGATACTTATAAATAGTCTTTAGGCTATATATATATATATATATATATATATATATATATATATGTGTGTGTGTGTGTGTGTGTGTGTTGGCCTAGATCCTAAATATTAAAAAAAGATTTTGTTGATCTAGGGTAGTAGACGTTAATTTTAAAAAAATATCTACACGACAGAGGGAAAGATATGAAGAAGTGTAAGGAGACAGACAACGTGAGAGAGAAAGGATGAAGAAGAACATATAGATGAGTAAAAGAGAAAAGTGAAAGGGAGATATTGACTAAGAAGACAAAGATGAGGAAGAGAGAAGGAAAAAGAGAGAGAGAGAGAGAGGTTGGAGACGAACGCAAAGATGAGGAAGGAAAAAGGAAAAGAGAGAGAGAGAGGGGGACTAGAGAAGAGAATAAGTGTGGAAGAGAGAAAGAATGCTATGAAGTCATATAAAAAAAGAAAAAGTGATAAAGAGGGCTTCATCGCTATTAATTGATTCGGTAGTTTTCTGGGACCTGTCAACCGTTATACGAACAACGATAGACAATCACGGGAGGGTGGGGCTGCTGTAAGGGTGTGTCCCCTTGCCCATCAGTTGTCATTATATATCTTCTCATTTGCCCTTCATCCATCGGACTTGACTTAATGCGACCACGTATTTCTTTTTTTAGGCTTCTTTTCTGCCATTTTCCTGCCTTATTGTAATTTTATTTTTTTATTTTCTGCTTTTTATTTATTTATTTTTTACATTTCATGGTTGCGCGCCAGTTTTCGTCATTAACTCAAATGGAAAAATTAAATAAACACTATAACAAAGCATGAAGGCATGACTCTACGTTTCCCTGTTTTCTAGCCCGTTTCCAGATATCGTGATGAAAAAAAATAATCTCGCCATTGACGTATCATATTGTTTAACAGTCACGCTCTCGTAACTAGCGTTCTTCCTCCTCTTGCCTTGCTTTATCTTTACAAGAGTCAGATTAGATAAAAAAAAATGGAGGCATTGCTATTAGCAATATGTGTCGAGTTACCTTCTCCTAATTTTTGAAACTGCTTCTAGGAGACGCTCTCAGAACTGTGAATACCCAGTGATAATTTTCTTATCACTCCCTTCTGACTTTATCCACTTATTCGTCAACATGTTCTCTTTGGGAAACACATGAACAATACATACATAGATACACATACGTACGTTAGTACATTCACTCACTACAGATAATTTGGACCATTAGGTTTTCACATTCATTTGACACACACATCTTAGTCTTTGTCATTTGTAACCCTTTATTTTAATACATCATCATTTGTTTGTACATATATATTCGTTCTTGCCGTTTCTTTTCATTTATTTACGTGGCCTCACATCCTGATTCCGCCATGTTTTTTGTGGCCATTTCAGGAGACACACGTGTGTTTATCTCTCAACGTATAAATCGGCTCGCAATATATGTAGCCCAGTACCATCTGCCGCATATTGGGTTTATCGGGGCAAAGATATGAGAAGAAAGAATGAAAGACAAACAGAATGTGTATCGTTTCCCCCGCTTGGCTTTTCTGGTGATGAAAGTGGCTAGATACACAGCAGGATTAAAAACAAGTCCTGTGAAAGAGTGGATAAATAATTTTATGGAAATTTTCTTTACAACCATATCTAAGAGTTTTCATTCTGAGTCTGCTAATAACACAGGGCTGTCAGCGTATCTGATGTTAAGATTATGCCCCCGGCAGCAATACTCCATTTTTGGTTTAATTCATCTTGAGTAATTTTACATGAGGTCTGGAATGAGCCTGAGACTCAGTAGACGTGGAGTTTCATTGATTACGAGTGGAACCCGTGGTTTGAACGGTGACGATGAATCAGTATTAGTTTGGTTTTTGAAGTATTGAAAGTTATAAGCCGTTTTTTCCCCGTTGAGCCGTTAGAGCTAGGTCAGAGCAGATATCAGTTGCAAGACTCGGGTCATTTTAATTGTAAAAAAAAAAACAAAACAAAAAAAACATCTTTCCAAATATTTGTATTGTAAACAGCTAATCAATAAATACACAACAGATATCGGGTCGTTGTTGCTTGCTTTTGAACAACAGCAATTTTCTCCCACGTTTACATCACCTCACCTGATTATGCTGTCAACCTACCAGAATTTGGACAATCTCAATCCTTGCTGGAAAACTGAACTCTTCTCGCTGCCTCGTATTCTTTGAAATTAGTCGAAGTGCGCCGTTTATGGAAAAACAAAAACAAAAAAAAACAAAAAACGTTATTTTCCGTTTTCTTTTTTATTTAACAGCTTCTTAGGTCTTCGGGCGAGGTATTGGCATTGGCATTCGGGCGTGGTATTGGCATTTTGTTTTTCAGTGTCTTTCAACTACACCCCTTGGTTCACTGGAACAACCGTGTCTGTGAATTGACCGACTTTCAGTTTCTTCACAGTATCAAAACTTGAGGCCTTGCATCGAACGTTAGCGAATCCAGATCAATAGTACCGAGACATGCGCTTTGATCTCGCAATGTGATCACACCGGAAGAGGTGTCAGTGAAATAGACAAGGTAAACTCTTGAATAAGTATTTGGCAAGAGAAAAAAAAACGGCTAAGCTTTGATGTACGATTTGATTTCAACAGATCAACTTTCAACAGAAGCGGTAAGTAGGATATGACTCCAACCCTGATATATCTACACGAGTCATTTGTTTTATTTCATTGATAGTAAGGGTTACAGCCATACCACATTAAAACATCGGTTCTCATACGATCGTTGTAGTTAAGCAACGTCGAGCCTGGTCAGTACTTAGATGGGTGACCGCTTGGGAATACAAGATGCTTGGATGTGTGGATGACATAGTGGGCTTTCGTTTTTATAACGTTAAAAACCTTTTCTCGTACGATCATCGAAGTCAAGCAACGTCGAGCTTGGCCAGTACTTAGATGGGTGACCGCACGGGAATACAAGGTGCTTGGATGTGCATGTGATATAGGGGGCTTACGGTCTTATAACGTTAAAAAAATCTTTCTCGTACGATCATCGAAGTTAAGCAACGTTAATCCTGGTCAGTATTTAGATGGGTGACCACTTGGGAATAGCAGGCGGGTACAAGAGGAGGACGACAACACACAGAAAACAGTCTGCCTGCCTTATGTGAAGTGGTTATCAGAGAAAATACAAAGGATCTGCGGTCCATATAACATCAGGACAACATTCAAAAACTGGACGACATTTCGCATATATCTCTCCCGAGTAAGACCCCCATAGAGGAGAACATGACTAAAGACTGTGTGTACGATCACCCGTGCAGTTGCGGAAAGAAATATAAAGGGGAGACAGGCCGCCCCTTTAAGGTAAGGCTTCAAGAACACCAGAAAGCTATAACACTAGGGGAAGTGGAAAAATCAGGCGTGGCTGACCACATATAGAGAGAAAAGGGAGATCACCGCCCTCTGTGGGTTCAGGTTGAAATCATAGACAAAGAACATCATTGGAAAATTCGAAAATTTAAGGAATCAGCACATATGCTAGTCCACAAAAATCTCCTGAGCCGACCAAGCATAGAAATGAATACAATATGGGAACCAGTAATAAGGAGTGCAAGAGAAAAGCGATAATAACAACGAAAATTGCAATATGAGGTTTATAATATCCAGAAATTCATACACAGATGTCTTCAAGGACACATGGCACAGTGGTTAAAGGCGTTAGATCTAGTGACAGGACACAAAGAGTGTGAGTTCAATACCTGGTTAAGGCGGTGGAGAACTTGGAGAGGTGAATTAACAGGAGATAACTGATAACTGACATCCATTAAACATGGAACATGGAACTAGAACAGTCTACCCCAGTTAGTGAAATAAAGGGTTCAATTCGACATGAAAAAGGGTGGAGCATACAACGGCCGAAAAGTTGTGATAAATATGGCAACAAAGATGAGGACAATAGTCTGAATAATGTGAATAGTGTATATAATAACTCATCTCAGAAATATAGACAGAAAAACTGTAGTTTCATAATCGGTTGGTGAAGTGATTAAATAAAGGTTAATAAAAATGTTATGAACTGCTGTACTAGAGCCAGGTACTTGGAATATTTAGGAAATAATTATTCCCTGGAAAGCTGCTGAAGGACTTCAGTAATATTTTTCATCACAACATTCCCGTTAATGATTTTCGTGACTATGTCACAATCCTGTAATTCTTCAAAGGGCACGAAAAAACGAAACCTATTATCAATACGATTGCTATCAGTTCTTTCGAGGCAGAAAGAGATTTTACAAAAATGAATATTATCTACTCAGATAAAAGAAGCCGACTTACAGTGGAAAATGCAGCAAACTTGATGACAATCTTATTGGTCTCCCTTTTGATTTATGGGATGCCACTCCTTTCGTTAAAACATGGCTTAGGAAAAAAAAAATCAAAGTACTGCTGACAACAGAGTGGGGCAAAAAAGCTGAAGATTATGACAATCATTTGGCTATTTGGAAATTTTTAAAATGAAAGATCATGAATAAAAGATTTTTAATTATTTTTCCTTTCAAAATGATAACATGTAATGTAATACAGATTAATTAAAATATTTTTGACTAAGTGCTAAAAAGTTGTTTTATTCCTAAATCACATCTATATAGTAAAGTATAGACTATGGAAAAATGAAGGAATCCATTGCTATTGAGACTTGTTGTTGAGAGAACTAGTTCTTAAAAATTTGAATTCCACCACTTGAACAACCTTGAATCTTGAACAATAAAAAATGTTACAAAAATTAAAATTACAGACAAATTGGGCTAAATATTAATATTATTTGTTTTATTATTTAAATTAGCTCCCTCGATCTCTCTCTCTCTCTCTCTCTCTATATATATATATATATATATATATATATATATATATATATATATATATATACTACTTTCCCTGACGATCCGTTTAGGTGAAACCTAGGTAGGTTTGTCTGGCTCACTAGGTTTATCTAGGTCTGCTCTACGGTTGTATTGAGCTCTTTTTGTTAGTTAGTTGTTTACTCGTATCGGGTTTTTGTCTTTGGGCTTCAGACCTGTATCTCAAGGATTTTTTGTCGGCAGAAGTTCATGTTTGTAGCTCTTTCTTTTTTAAAACCTTTTCCCTCGAGATTGATTTGATTATTAGCAAATCAAAATTGAGGGTTTTTTTCGAAACGAGTCTAGTTATCTATCTATCTATCTATCTATCTATATATATATATATATATATATATATATATATAAAAACCCTTGTGAAATTAACTGAAACAAAAACGAATAATTCCGTTATTATTTATTTTTTTTCGTATTTTTCCAATGAAACATGACCCAGTGCTCATGTTAGTATTTCGTATGTCCCTTACACGAAGCCGTTCCTTGCAGATTGATCATAGATTCTCAGTTGTATTTGAATCATGAGAGTTTCCGGGCCAATCTATAGTACTTTGTTTTGCTCGCTGGTAAGGCTTGCCAGTGTGTTCGTGCAGTGTTACAATTTTCGTACGCTTTCTTGCACTATCGTCCATCGCAGACAATGGCCGCAGGACAACTAATCGACAGTCGAGACAATAGTATCTGGGCGTGATAAAAATCTGATGCAATCACGGATGAGGCATTATTTTTCAAGGCCTTACAAATTTCCTCATACACCCAGAAAATAGATTCATAGTGCTGCATATCACTACAAATGTCCTAGTCCGAGAGAAAAATAGAAATCGATCACCCCTGCCACTCCAGTAGGTCTAAAATTGAGTGTATGGTGAAAGAAAGGAAATTAAAGCGGTTGTTTAATTTGCACAAAGGTGTACCTTTAGATAACTTATATGTACGATTCCTTGGAGCAACGTCCATCGCAGACAATGGCCCTAGGACAACTAATCGACAGTCGAGACAATAGTGTCTGGACGTTATAAAAATCTGATGCAATCACGAATGACACAATATTTTCAAGGCCTAACAAATTTCGTCATACACTCCGAAATAGATTCATTATACTGCATACCACTAAGGAAAAAAATGAAATCGATCCCACCCTGTTACTCCAGATGGGCCGAAGACTGACCGTATGGTGAAAGAAAGGAAACTAAATCGGCTGTTTCAATTAATTTGCACAGGGGTTATATATGTTATATATGTATGTAGAATGATATCCGAGATAAAAATGAAATAAAAGTGGAAGAAAAGTCTTTTTTCTTTTTATGACAACGCGTTTCACCAACGTGTATTAGGTCTGGCGTCTTCAAATTTGAATAAAACATTCTGTTCATCCATACCTCTCTATCTTTCTCAATTTGTTCGATCCGAGTTTTCATCTTTTTATTTCTATATGCCTATCGATCTCGGCCTGTTTAAAGCTACCTAACTATCGATCACTTTTCCTTTCCATCTTTCCAATAAGCCCCGTTATTTGCGTATCTGATTTTTATAGCATTCAGTGATTCTACAGCAATTTGCGATAATATCTATTCACTTTCAATCGACTGGATTTTTTTTTACCCCACTCTGCTTTCATAATTTTTTTTCTTAACCGTTACTTCGTTCAACTCGTTTTTTTTTTTAAATTCTTTATCTTTCGTGTTCATTGCATTTCTTTTTAAACGATTATTATATCTTCTTGATTGTCGTCTTTTTGAAAAATTTGTCCTCTTTTTTTTTTGTTTACATCTTAAGAAAAAAAATACAATTTGCCTTATAGGTACTCAGTTCTCTTCCCTTTTTCTAAAAGCTTTGCCTTACTCTCATTATTCTCTTTGCCTTATATTTTCACACATCCCTACTCTTATTGTTCTCATTCCTTAACATATCTCTCTTCCTCACTCTCGTTGTTCTCTTCGCCTTATCTTTTCTCTTTTCCCAACTCCCATCGTTTTTTTCGCCTTATCTTTTCTCTTTTCCTAACTCCCATCGTTTTTTTCGCCTTATCTTTTCTATCTCTCCCATTGTTTTCTATGACTTGGCTTTTCTCTCTTCTCCAACCCATTCTCATCTTTGCCTAATGTTTTCTCTCTTCCTCACTCCCATTGTTTTCTTTGCCTTTTCTTTTCTTTCATCCTCACTCCCATTGTTTTCTTAGCCTTATATTTTCTCTCTTCCTTACTCCCATTGCTTTCATCTTTTCTCTCTTCCTCACTCACATTGTTCTCGTTGCCTTATCTTTTCTCTCTTCCTCATTCCCATTATTTTTTTTTTGCCTTATCTTTTCTCTCTTCCTCACTCACATTGTTCTCGTTGCCTTATCTTTTCTCCTTTCCTCATTCCCATTATTTTCTTTGCCTTATCTTTTCTCTCTTCCTCATTCCCATTGTTTTCTTTGCCTTATCTTTTCTCTCTTCCTCACTCACATTGTTCTCTTTGCCTTATCTTTTCTCTCTTCCTCACTCACATTGTTCTCTTTGCATTATCTTTTCTCTCTCCCTCACCACCATTGTTCTCTTAGCCTAATATCTATCAGCCTATCGTTTAGAAATGTATCTATGTATCCTTGGACCCTCAGGGCTTTAGGGATTATCTAACATCAGGCTCCTTCACTCTATCCTACTGATGATGACCAAATACCAACACGTCACAGCGCAACGAGCCGTGTGAAAATTTCAATCACATAATATATATATATATATATATATATATATATATATATATATATATATATATAAGAGGTACGGCGATGGCGTGGATAGCGGATCGGATTGAGTTCGAATTCTCGTTGAATCCATTATATTCACTTATTAATCCTCTTCTCCCTCCAGCTAGGCAGGACAGACTGGGTTCTATAGCCTTGGATGGCAACTGGTCTAGGAGAAAACAACTCTGAATTCAAAACCTGCGGAGGGTCGTTTGGGGACGTAGTGCACCAGGTCTCTGTATTCGAACCTTCGAAAAGTGTGGATGGTTCTGCACAAAGCCTTCACCAATATAAGCAAATCATATGTGCTGGTGTCTGGCCGTTGGTTCCAAGGAACTGAGCTG